AAAGACATTAGCAGTATGTGTGTGTGTGTGTGTGTGTGTGTGTGTGTGTGTGTGTGTGTGGTGGAGGTGAGAGTGGAGGTAGAGGGCATTGGAGTCCATGAAAAGCCTCCTGAAGCAGGGGAGATTTGAGCAGAGTCTTGAAGGAAGCCAGGAGATAAAGGTGTAAAGGGACAAATGTTCCAAGCACGTGGGACAGCCAATGAAAAGGCAAGGAATCTGGGGATTGATTTTCATTCATTCAGTACCCAAAAGGCCAGTGTCTCTGTATCATAGAATATGTGAAGGGGAATAAAATGTAAGAAGATTGGAAGAGTTGAAAGGAACTATGTTGTGAAGAGTTTTAAAAGCTAAAATAGTACTTTATATTTGATCCTGGAGATAATATTGAGTCCCTGGAGTTATTGAGTAGTTCCAACCTCAGTTTTATGAAAATCACTTTGGCAGTTGAATGGATGATGAATTGAAATGGGATGAGAGACTTAAGGCAAGAAGAAAAACCAGAAGTTTATTGCAGTAATCCAAGAATGAGGTATTGAGGGCCTGAGCTAAGGTGATGGCTCTGTGAATGAAGAAAATGGGACACTGACATGAAATTTTGTTAAGGCAGAAATTACACAAAATTGGCAATGTATACAAGTGATGAGCGTGAGTGAGTAATCAAGGATGGAATCAAAGTTGCAAGCCTAGCAGAGAACTGGAAACTGAAGGGATGCCCATCAATTGGAGAGTAGTGGAACAAGTAGTGGTATAAGATTATGATGGAATACTATTGTGCTAAAAGAAATGATGAGCAGGATGCTCTCAGAAAAACCTGGAAAGACTTATATGAACTGATACAAAGTGAAATGAGTAGAACCAGGAGAACACTGTACACAGTAACAGTAATATTGCAAGATGATCAACTATGAATGACTTAGCTATTCTTAGCAATACGATAATCTAAGACAACGCTGAAGAACTTATGATAAAAAATGCTATCCATTGCCAGAGAAAGAACTGATGGAGTCTGAATACAGGTTGAAGCATGCTTTTTTTACCCTTCTTATTTTCCTTGGGGTTCTTTTGGTCTACATTTTAGAACATGACTAATATGGAAATATGTTTTGCATGACTATACATGTATAACCTATATCAAATTGCCTACCCCCTCCATGAGGGGGTGGGGTGGGAGGAAGAGAATTTGGAACTCAAAGTTTTAAAAACAAATGTTAAAAATTATTTTTCCATGTAATCGGGGAAAAATAAAATATTAAATAAGTATATATTTTTAAAAAGTTGCAAGCCTAGTTGACTGGGAGGATTGAGATGTCCTTTACAGTATAGGGATGTTTAGAAGTAGGGAGGGTCTTGAGAAAAGATAATGAATACATGTTGGGTTTGAGGCCTATGAGACATACAGTCTGAGATATCCATAAAGCAGCTGGTAATGCAAGACTAGTGATCAGGAGAGAAGGCCTGGATTCAAATATTGCATTTGACACTTGGAAGCTTTATGACCCTGAGCAAATCATTCAACTTCTCTAAGTTTCACCTAATCACAAAATTTGGATAATTATACCTGTAGAACTTCATTTTACTACTGTGAGGATCAAACGAGGTAATGTATGTATATAGAACACTAGGTCCAGGATAGTTAGGTGGGGCAGTGGATAGAGTGCTGGGCCTGGAGTCAGGAAGACCTGAGTTCAAATAGGACTTCAAACACTTATTAGCTGTGTCACCCTAGGCAAGTCATTTAACTCGGCTTGCTTCAGTTTCCTCATCTGTAAAGTTTCCTCATCTGTAAAATGAGCTGGAGAAGGAAATGGCAAACCACTCCAGTATCTTCACCAAGAAAACCCCAAATAGGGTCATTAAGAGTTGAACATAATTGAAACGACTAAACAACAAAAATAGCAAAAGAGATCAGTCTGGCCATCCACACTGGAAAAACAAAGTGGATGAAGAATACACATTTGTGATATGCAGTTGAATGGGAAGCCCATTGAGTTATTTCACCAAAATATGTATCTGGGATAGACATATAGGTAGACAATGATAATGGCCCAGAATTGGATAGGAGGAAATTTGGCAATTGTGGTGCCTTAAGTGACCTTAAATTGCTTGCCTGATGCAAAAGTCCGTCTGATTAATGTTAATGCTCTTCTGGTGTTGCTATATAGCTGCAAACTGTGGGATGTTATGATCACAGAAGAATCAGAATTGTGGTAACTCAAAGCACAATGAAAAAATGTATAGTGGCCGTAAGTAAACTACAGAATATCTGTAAGTGATGACTTTTGTGCAAAAAAGTGAAAGAAAAAAAAACATCAAAAGCATCTATGTCTAAGAGAGGATATGAACCAATTACTTAATCAGAGTGATAGTTAACAGATGTATAGAGGACTACAGTGATATTCATGCAGTAAAAGAATCAGAAGACCTCTGAGGCTAGAATTCTTAACCTGAAGTTCACGGTTAAATTTTAGGGGATCTGTGAACTTGAATGAGGAAAAAAAAGTATGCCTTTATTTCCCTAACAAGGTAGCTAGGTAAAAGGCAGCTAGGTAGCACACTGCTGAGCCTGGAATCTGTGAAAGACCTGAGTTCCAATCCAGCCTTGGACATTTACTAGCTGTGTGACTCTGGGCAAGTCACTTAACCTCTGTCTGCCTCAGTTTCCTCAAGTGTTAAATGGGGATCAAAAATGGCAACTACCTCACAGAGCTATTAGATGGATCAGATGAGGCAACATTTATAAAGTGTTTGACAGAGTGACTGGCACATTGTATGAAGTTAATAACCATTTGATCTGTCCCCTTCACTAATTTCTAAGTGAAATTTAACATCTTCAATTATTAAAAATATTATTCCGAGGCTTCATTAGATGGCCGGAGTGTTCTATGACACAGATAAGGTTAAGAACTCCTGATTTGGTGTGTTGGGTAGATGTTCTAGAGAATATTTACAAAAAAAGATGAGGACAAAAATTAAAAAGATGAGAAAGTGGGTGATGGTTATAACCTGAACCAGTCTCCAACGGTTCAGAGAGTTCAAGGATCTGCGGAAGCATTTGAATGACCACTAAAAACAGAGCACTGAGCTGGATGGCTAAAGCGACCCACTGTAATTCTGGTCTTATACTCTTTGTATTTTGGATTAAAGATAGAACATGAAAGGTTCTGCTTCAAATGTTAGTGCTTCAAATGATCCCTGTAGGGATTTTCCAGTAACCTACCCTACTGAATAATCTCAATCTATTTCCCAGCCTCTTCATTCAGAAAAAAAATACTCTTTAACAGGCCACAAAATGGTGTCTAGGAAAGGAGGCCTAGCCTGATTATATGAAACAACTGGACAAGAAACCACAGAATGAAAACCAGCTAAGCACAGGCCTTTATCCGTGACAAAGGAAGAGGGAAAGGTGCTGGGATTCTTTGAGTCAGCAATGTTGTCCATTCAGTGTGGTTGGGGCAGGGATATTCTCCTCAGCCTGATCTTGGTGCAAACTGCCAAAGTCCAACCTTCTGCAAGAAGCCTTTCTTGATCTTCCATAACTTAATCCCTTCCTTCTAAGATTATCTCCAATTTGCCCTGTCTATATCTTATTTACACATGGTTGTGTGCGTGTTGTCTTCCTTCATTAGACTGTGAGCTCCTTGAAGGCAGGGACGGTGTTTTTGCTTTTCTTTGTATCCTCAGCACTTAGCACAGTGCCAGACATAAATGAGGTACTTTATAAATGCTATTGACTTGACTTGACCAAGGAACCTAGCACTTCTCCTGCCAAGGATATTTTTCCTTAAAGCAAAATGGAGAATTGGAATGGCCAGTTCAGAAAACCCAACTGAAAATTCAGTGAGAGGGATTCATTAGTGACTAGGGATGCTAAAATGATCACTGACACCAAGCATCAAGAATGATTTGCTACAAACTGTTAGTTTCACTCTCTTTTCCTAACAAAATAATATTTTTTGTTGTTATTTTTGTAAGACAATGGGGTCCAGTGATTTGCTCAGGGTCACACAGCTAGTAAGTGTCAAGTGTCTGAGGCAGGGTTTGAACTTAGGTCCTGACTTGAGGGCTGATGCTTTATCCACTGTGCCACCCAGCTGCCCCTGAGAATATTTTTTAAAAATGTAATTGGTAAGTACAACATTATACATTTTGGTGCTAAGGGATCCATAGTCTTGCTGTGTTTGGTGAAAATGGACCTGAATGAAAACATATAGTTTAGGATGGAGAAAAGCAGGTGTTTAAATCATGCAGCTTAATGTAAATTACTAGGCAAAGCATGTGTTTCCTAATCCATCATTCACATCACTGTACCTACTGCTCATCCCTAGAAAAACAATTAGAAAACATTCGTCTTAAGAATAAATTGGAAAATAGGATACTCATAACCTCTTCCTTGGTTCCAGCACTGCTTTAACAAAGAAGTACAGACTCTCTAAGTGCTTTGACATCCACAAGTCCCCAGTGCAACTGAACATGACAACGAATTTCTATTATTACTATTCAGTGATTTTACAATTTAGCAAAATTGCAAAGTAGTAAAATGATAAAATATATTACTTAGTCACATTACAATTTTTGGGTGGTGAGACTAGGGGGTGGTTTCATTGGTATAGAAAAAGACTAACTCCCTCAATTGATGGAGATTGGCGATTCATCTCTAATTTATACAGTTACAGAGTTGCCTTAGGCACCAAGAGGTGAAGTGATTCGCCCAGGGTCACACGGCTAGCATGTTTCAGAGCTACGATTTGAACCTAGGTCTTCTTGACTCCAACAGCCATGTCACGCTGCTTCTTCTTAGTTCAAATAATATACTCAGGATAATACAAAGCCAAGAATGTCATACTGTGCTTTTTCTGAATAGGTCCTGGCCATAGCCTTGCAAAGAGTGAAATATGAACTCACAATTATCCAAAGTACCTTGGTACCTTGTTAAAGAGTTGGCCAGGGGAGGGAGGCAAATGAACACCTGGCATCTGAATGAGTCAGGTAAATAAGCAAACCTGTGCATCCTCGTATGTGTATCGCCCTGGGTCTTTGACATTTTGACTTGTTTTCTCATAGCTGTGAGAATCCAGGTTGATTGCACTTTGGGCTCCAGGAGCCAGAAACTCTTGCCAAATTTCTTCCACCCGAGTTGCCACGTCCTGTAAAGGTTGTTTCTTGAGATCTTGGACAGCCAACCAAAACCTTGAATTGGGAGCATAAAGACACCATTAATTCCATGAGGCAGACTCAAAAATTCATAACTCTTGCTTTTCTATGGAGTCAGGTTCTAGGGCTGACAGCTTATAGCATTAATTCTCAATATGGTCCTGTCTGGGTCCCCTGCTCTAATGTCATCTTGTGGAACCCATTTGCAATGGAATTGATGATACTATGAAGGACTAGATTTACTTCTTGGGAGACCTGGGCATAAATGTTTAAAATCTGATCCATGGCAATGTTTTGCTTAGAGAAGGGAAACTTCCCTTCCTCTACATGTCCTAATTTGTGACTAAATATATGATGCAAGGATGTCAGTATAACATTCTATACGACTACAAGATTGTAAATGAAAATAATTGTGAAAGATTATGATCATTTATGATCAATGCAATGGCCAATTAGAACTCCAGGAGACTGATCATGCTTCCCGTCTCAGAAGACAGGTGTTGGATTGGGGTATAGAATGAGGCATATGTTTTCAGACACAGCTAATGTATCAATTTGTTTTATGTGATTGTACTTTACTGTAACAAGGGAGTGATGTATTTTTTTTTCTTTTGGAGGTAAGGAGAAACAAGAGGGGAGTGGAGGAGTATTAAGGGTGATACTAAAAAAAAGGAAGAAAAGAAAGAAAAGAACATTGAGGAATCATTAGAAATAAACAGAAGAGAGTAGAAGAAAATTTATAAGGAGACACTGACAAGTAAGGCAAAGTCAGAACTATTATGTAAAACTTGAAACATATCTTCCCCCTCTCCCCAAACAAAAACAGAGCCAAGCTGATTCTATGCAGCGTGGAGACTCATAGCTTCCTATGCGGTCCCTCTTTGTGCTCTCTATATAGAGAAATGTTTGTGCTCATTGATGTTTAAGTTCAGGATCATAAAAGGAAAACTTTTGTTAAAATAACAAAAGAAAGTAGTTAGAATGAGTTACAGGGAGAAGTATAAGAAGGAAGATTTGTATGAACTGATGCAGATCCAATAAAACAGAACCAAGAGGGTAACATACACAATGACTATAGTAATATAAAAGAAAACACCACTAAAAGCTGAACTCCAAAGAAACACATTTAACTCTCCTCAGTAAAGAAGTGAGGGCAGTGGGTCTACAATGCTGCTAATGCTGTCAGATGGGGTTGCTTAGGATGGTTCTGTTTAATTGTTTTTCTTTGTTACAGGGGAGGTGGTGTGTGTGTGTGTGTGTGTGTGTGTGTGTGTGTGTGTGCAAATACATGGGAAAAATCACAGTGTAAAAGATAAAAATCTTCAATTAAAAACACAAAATAAATCAGTGAGGAGGACTAAGGAAGACCATAGGGAATTTTAGAGTTGACAGATCATTAGAATCCATCCCTTTGCAGATAAGTAAAACAAAATAAAAATGGAATGGATTGACAAAGCTTCTTTTTAGAGGAAAATGGGCCAAACAGGTGTAGCATTGTCTTAGACATGGCAATGCTACACAGGAATCAATGTTGAAGGTGCCTGTGGGGAGCTAGGAGCAGTAGGGGAGGGAGGAAGGAGAATTCTGATTAAGTACTCTGTGGGGGAAGGCAAAGAGAAAATTCTTCCTCCCACCTTTCTCTTTCTCTCCCATTATCCATACAAAACCAATACAGTTGTTAAGAGAGCTGGGCACCAGTGACCAAAGCTGAACCCTTAACAGCAGCATCCTGTCCCCAGTGATGGCTCCAAAGCAGGCACAGTCAGGGACAAAAATGTTTTTGTTGGTGAGGATGGATGATATTAATAACCACAACTATTCTCATGTATACAACACTTTTCTGTTTACAAAAGGCTGGTAGGTGTCACAACGGATAGAGCACTGACTGTAGAATCAGGAAAAACTGAGTGTAAATCCTGCCTCAGATATCTGCTAGCTTTGTGATCCTGAGCAAGTCATTGAACTTCTCTCTCTGCCTCAGTTTCCTCATATGTATAATGAGGTAATAAAAACATTTACTTCCCAAGGCATGTAAAACATTTGGAAAACCTCCAAGCACTCTATAAATGCTAGCTATTGTGTTCAACGAAAGTATTTTCCTTATAAGAACCCTGTCATGGATAGGATAGTGTATTATTACCCCTGTCTTATAGATGAGACATTGATTCAGAGAGGTTATGAATTCAACCACACAACTAGCTGATGGCCAAGTTGGAGACTTGAACCCCATGTCACAGGGTCTTAGGATTGATATCTGAAAGGGATTTCAGGGAGCATCAAGTTTAAGCCCCTCATTTTATAGATGAGGAAATGGAGACCTAAAGAGGGAGGTGACAGCCTGAAATCATAAAAGTTATAAGTAGAAAAACTGGTATTTAAAGTCAGATCTTTTGACTTCACATCTATTGCTCTTTCATATTTGGGGCAGGTTGGGTACATCTTCTGACCTGTGAATGGGGCAGGGGGTGGGGGGAGTCACTGGATCAACATCAGTTAAAGATGAAAACATGGAGGCCAGAGTTGTGATCCATCCCTAACAACACGGAACAGAGCAGTACAGAAAAGAGCAGTACAGAAAAGGACAGGGATCCAACAACATCAACACCAACAATGATGATGAGGATGACAATTTTTATCATCCTAATCATCATCATCATTTTGGCATTTTTATCTTCATCATCATTCACATTTATTTAGTATCATAAGGTGGACAAAGTACTCTTCTTACAACATCCTTATGAAGTGGATGGACTCTATACTCCAGTATCAGTGACCAATCTGAATGTTAAAAAGGTGTATTCTAATCTTCATCTTTAGTGAAATCTACCTGTTTTCATTAAAGGTTAACTATGTTTTCATTTCACAGATTTCAGAGTCATCTGCATATCACTAAGGTGACGCCCTGTGGCCATTCGAGGTAACTACAATCTCCTTTATGGGAAGAGATATCAGCTGAGTAATCAACCAAAGAAAACTCATGAGGACCGTCTACATGTTTGAAGTCTTCATTGTCTCCCGCTCTTCTTCCTTCTCCTCGTCCTCCTCTTCCTTTTATACCTCACTCCAACAAGGAAGAGGGAAAGGGAGAAAAGAGGAGCAGAGAGCTCAGAGAGAACCCTAGACATGGCTTCACTCTAGACAGCAAAGATAATTTAATGGGAAGAGCCAATATGTAATATTTAAATGTAATGGCCTAACTTAGATGTAGAGTAGGGAAACAGAGTCCTGTCATTGATGGGCTATGTGGTAAATAAAAAAATTGGAGCACTGGTTCTGATATCAGACCTGGGTTCCAGTTTCCATTCTGCTATTTGGACAAGTCACTAACATTCTGTGGGCCCTGGTTTCTTCATCTATAAAATGATCTATAATTTTGGTCTCAAAGCTTCCTTCTTCCCCTATATCCTATGATCTGATCTGATTTGCTAAACCATCATTCTGGCATCTCAGTTTCCTCATCTGTAACATAGGTAACTAACACTAGTTGGCAGAAGCAACATGGATAACCTGGTTCTGAAAATAACTCAGCTTTAGCTTTGGGGCTGATTTTCAGGAAATACCTACAACTCAGTTAGGCAAGGAAGCGGGATGGTGGTATATTGGACTACCTAACCTGGTACTCAAATCACCATATAAACCATAGAGACATCACAGTGTTTGTAAACACGATGCATACCTCCAATCAGGTTCCATCTTATCTTGGAGCCCTGGACATTTCTCATTGTGAATTGCATCTGATTTCATTTTAGGCCTGTAGCCAGTATTCCTTTTCCTGCCCTCCACCACCACCTCAAATTCTTTACTCTTTTCCTGTCATTGTTCCTAGGTATACTTGTTCTTCTGGGAGTGGGGGTGAAAGGAACATGCAGTGGACTCCCAAAGGAAACAAGATGGGACGATTCTAATCAGACGGTGGAACTGCAGAGTTGTTAGATAACTACTGGGGCTGGTTTCCCCATCTCAGTGGCACGGTTCCCTTAAACTCATGAGCCATCCCCTTGCCTTCTTTCCCACTCAGCTTCTAAGATTGGCTGTGATAGGAAAGGGGGTGCAGTTGGAACTAGGACCCTAGAGATAGAAGAGAGATAGTTCCAACTCCTTAATTTTATATATGACAAAACTGAGGTCCATGCTAAATCCAGCTCTTTTTCATCTCACTACACTGATACAAATTGATATTTGATAGTGGTGTCATTTGTGGGAATAACTATAGGGTTTGTGTTTTTATGAAGCATGATGGGGTATATGGAAGGACATATGTTAATAATATTTGGAAATTACTGCTAAAGAAACAAGTTAGTACAGACTTTCAGTTAAGATGGTTATATGAAAAGCTGTGAAGGAAACTGGGTCTCTCATATAACCTCCAGAAAAGATCAACAAAAGGCACCAGATCAAATAGTGATTAAGAAATCCAGAGAGAAACAGAAGTAAGCACTGTCAGCCAACTGAGGACTGCATAACAAAGCCAGCCAGAAGCCTGCAGGCATCAGGAGAGGGATCCTGTCAGGGATGCCAACATGAGCTCAGGTAAATCACTCAGAAGCCTATCAACACTCTTATTGGGATGCTGCAGGAGGGACTAAAATCTGCTAGCACTCTCAGCACAGATACACCAGGAGAGGTGGAGGGCAATGGCAGGAACCCAGGAAATTTAGTTCAGGGTAAAACAGGGCCTGAAAACCCCATATATGAGTGTAGGATGGGGAAGAGCCTAATGTAGGTATAGAAGTCCCCAACCAGGAACTGATTCTGGAAATATGACTGAACAGAAGAAGACACTACATACGATGAAGAAGCATCATGGGTCAAGAAATATACAGGAGGTCAAACCAGAAGAGAAAAACTCCGCAATAACGATAAATATAGCCACTGAGGGAAAAAAATGGCTTGATCACAAGTACCACACAAAAAAGAAAAGGGTAAAAAAATGAAATGAGAATTCTAGAGGAAAAAATAGAAAAAACAACTTACAACAAAAAATAGCAAACTCATTGAAAATCAGGATGGAGCAAACAGAATTCAAAGATATCATG